GTAGTTACATAACACATTCTAGGATGAATCAAAAAAACATATACAATAAATATCTACTCAATAGAGCAGTTTTAACCTAAGGAGAAAATTTTTTTTAAAGAGAAGAGGAAAAAATAGAGAAATACAGAGGAAAAAGAGAATAGAAGCAAGGCTGAAAGAAAAAGGAAGATTACCCACGCTTCAGAAAACTAGTGAACAAGACGAGGTAAGGAAAAAGGAAAAAACAAAAACAAGATCAAAACAAAATAAAAACATTCACAATGTTCACACTTATCAAAAACAAATAATAAAAAACAAAGGAACAAAAATAATGAAAAAATCCTGCCAAAAGTAGAGAAGAAAAAAAAATAAGAAATTTCTCTGTGATTTCAAGCCTGTGGTTATCTTCTGGAGCCTACAGTTTTGTGGCAGTGTCCAATTCAAGGTGTGAGTCTGCTCTCACTGGTAGACAAAGCAGGCAGTCAGAGCCCAGAACTATGCTGGATAATTGCCAGCAAGCCAGTAGCAGGTTAGGGTGGGGTGCCAGTTCTGGTCCTTTCAAGTCCACAGAACTTCAAGCTGAACCTGGCCTCTGGTCATGGGGTTAGGGCTTGAGTCACTTAGCTTATAACACTCTGGGTGTCTTACCAGCCTGACCATGGCTCCCTGACCATGAATGTCTCCCATGGTTGTCCCTCACCCAGTCACTGTGGGAGTTTAACTTGGGAGCCCTGGGATGAAGCCAACCCATGGCTACTCTGAGTCCCAGGTTCAGTTGGCCCCTCTCCAGAACGGCATCTGACCAAGCACTCTCTTGAGGGCATTCAGCAGTTGCTTGGACTGGGGTCACTCACCGCCTTTTTAGCAAACAGCATCCACTGCTCTACCCACTGGTGTGTTTCTCCCTGAAGACCTTTGGAGTCACCACTTTCACTGTGTCTTTGTAGAGCTGATCTTCCTTTCTCCCACCATGAGAGAGAAGAGAGGAGAAAGGGCAGATTGCGCTTTTCTTTTTCTGTGTTGTGGTCTGTCTCTTCAGTGGTTCTGCAGGTTTCAATTTTCCCTTCAGGTCCTTCCTGGGTACCAGGGATCCACCTTCTTCCTTCTTTTATTCCCCAAGCTGTTATTTTCAGTGTCTGGATTCCAAATCTTAGAGAGGGAGATTTGTTGCTGCCGTGTTTCTGGAAGTCTCTCTTTCTTTCTTCATGTAGGCAACCTGTATTCTCTATTTTTTAATCTGTCCAGAAAAGAGATTATCTATTTGTTAATATTCTTATGCAAATTTGAGCTTCAATTTGTCATCAGTTTTTAGATTTCAGTGATAATCACTGTGACCTTCAATATTTTTCTATTTACTTTGGATTTAATTTGACCTTTTGAAAAGCTTATTAAAAAAGCAGAAAGATAATTGGTTTTCTCTTCATTTCTAATGATAAGTATTAAGGCTATAATTTCAGTTTATTGCTTTGGTTACATCTCACAAATTTGGATGTATTTTCCCCATGTCATTCAGTTCAATTTTTTTTTCTGATTTCTTCTTTCAACAATTTAGAAATTTTTCTTTCTTTCTTTTCTTTCTTTCCTTCCTCCCACCTTCCTCCCTCCCTCCCTTCGTTCCTTCCTTTTTTACTGCTGGGTATCAAACCAGGTCCTAATGCATGGTAGGCACACTGTCTACTACTGAACTACACTCTCAGTCCCTAGAAACACATTGATTAATTTCTAAATATTTGGGAATTTTTCTAAGCACTGTTTAAAAGCACCTTATGCAATGATGGAAATATTCCTGTGTGCTATCCAGCAAAATAGCTACTAGCCCCTTGTGACTACTATACACTTGAAATGTGGCTAACATCACCAAATAACTGAATGTATAATTTTAAGGTGGCCAGAGGTTATCATACTGAACACACAGTTCTATTTTAATTTTTATTAGTACATGTTTGCAGTACACGATTGCATTCATCGTGGGGAGCTGGCGCACGTACCTCACACATCTTTTTTTTTTGGTACTGGGGATCGAACTCAGGATCCTGAGGTTGTGAGGCAGGCGGCAGCACCACTGAGCTCAATCCCCAGCCCCTGAATATGCAGTTCTAGATACCTTCATTGCCATTCTTTCTAATTTATTCTATTATGGTCAGGGAACACATTTTATGTGATTCAATCCTTACACATTTATTAAGATTTGCTTCATTGCTCAATATATTTTGTCTCAGTAAAGTTTCCATGTGCAATTAGAAAATGGAGCCTTCTGAAATTGTGCACAGTGTTCTTGAAATGCTAATTAGGTCAATTAGGTTGAGAGCATTGTTCACATATTTTCCACTTAATCTCTTCTATCAGTTACCAAACAGGGTGTTGACGTTTCCAGAGCTATCATGACTTTCTCCAATTTTCCCTTTAGTTCTGTTAATTTTTACTTCACATTTTGAATTTCTGTTATTTTTTTAAAATTTCTGTTATTATTTACATAAACTTCTAGGGATATCTGATCTTTTTGATGTTTTGATCCTTTATCATTGTGAAATGACCCTCCTCTTTGATAATACTTATGGCTTTGAGTGATACAGTGGTACTTCAGTTCACAAACTTAATTCATTCCATGGGGAAGATGGCCACAGTCACGTTTGTCACCTGATGTGGAGTTCACAAATGGGAAAGTTTGCCAAACGCTTCTATTTGTGAACTGACTTGTTTGTGAACTGAGGCATTACTGTCTTAGCATAGCTCTACCAGTGTTTCCTGACCTTCATTGTTTCTGATGAGAAGTCAGCTATTATTCTTGTTGTTTCCCTTCTTGTAATGTGTCTATTTATTTACTTTGAGACGTTTATTTTGGTGTTCAATAGTTTGGCTATAATAGGCCTGGATTTATTTTTCCTTGCACTTAGACTGCTTGGGGTTCACTGAGCTTCTTAGGTCAATGCATTGCTGTTTCTCAGAAATCAAATTTGGAAAATATTAAATCCATGTTTATTCAGATATACTTATTCCACTATTCTTATTCTCCCTTCTATGACTCCAGTTACATTTATGTTAGCCTACTTGTGACAGTCCCATAAATCAGTGAGTCTCTGTGTAGTTTTTCAGCCTTTGTTCATTTTGTTACTGAGTTAGAAAATTTCTGTTCACCTGTCTTTAACTTCACTGATCTTTCTTTTGCCGTGACCAGTTTCCTACTATCATGTGATGAAATTCTAATTTCTTCCCAGGAGGAAAAGGAAAAGAAAGGGAAGAAGGAAAAAAATGAAAGATAATAAGACAGAAAAGAAAGAGGAGGAGGAGGAGGAAGAGAAGAAGGAGAAAAGGTCTGTTTTGGCTCACAGTTTCCAAGTGTCAGTCCATGGTTACTTGGCCCTATTGCTTTGGGCCTGTGGCAGCACAGCACACCATGATGACAGTACATGGCAGAAGAGAGTGTTTACCTCATGGCAGCAGGAAATAACTGAGAGAAAGTGATGGGGGTCTCAGTATCTCCTTGAAGGGTGCACCTCTAGCAACTTACCTTCCTCCTTCTGGTACCCACATCTTCAAGTTTCTGCCATATCCCAACAGCACCAAGGGCCTGGCCCAAAGCTCTCACACATGGGCCTTTGGGAAACATTTGTCCAAACCCACCCCAGCATCCCTGACCCTCTTGTGGAGCCTCTGTTCCTGTGGTGGCTGTGATTGGTCTTCTGGCCTACAGGTGGGTCTGGGCAAGCAGTCCTAGGTGCACTCAGGAAGGCTTGGCTGACCTGCTTGGGACTGCACCAGAGATTATGGGGTTTTTTGCAGGTAGAAAAAAGAAGAAAATACTTCTCTACCTGGTAGGATGGGAAAGGATTTTGCCCTCTTAAGCCAAATTGTGTGGAACAATTGCAAATACAAAACAGAAACACTGGTTAACAGTTGGGGTAAAAAAAAAAAGTCTTTTTTACGTGGTTCAAAACCACAAAGCTTTGGTGAAACAGAGAAGGTAGGCTTGGCCAGGAGGCAGAGAACATGCCCTCATACATTTGCTGATGTCCTAGGGATTGCCATCCTTAGAGTCTTGTGCTGAGGAATTTTGTTACCTGGGAGACCTGCAAAGCCTGCCTTTTCCTACACCCTAAGGCCTGGGCTCTTCCCCAAGCTTTTAACCACCTTTCTTAATTTGGCCCAATCCCAGCTTTCCAACCTCCTCCCCGAACTGCTGCCAGCTGAACCTGTGCGTCTTCTTCGGCACTACCCGTGCCTCTCCCAGCACATGCCACCCTCTTGCTCAGCCCCAGGCTTCTGCTCAGCCTGTTTTCCTTCCTCACACATCTCTCGATTCCCAGTTCAAACCCGCCCCTCTTCACACCAGATTCCACTTCCCCAGCTCCCCCAGCATCTGTGGGACCTGCCACCAACTTACTAAATCTACACTGCCTTGTGTCTGTTACTAGTAATTAGCTCTCCCCCTAGCTGGTTTGTTCCCTCGGAGAAGGAAGCTTGGGATCAGCCTCCTTGGGATTAAGAGCTGGCCCAGGTCTGCTGGCAGCAAATGCTTCCCACTGTCTGAAGACAACAGAATCACACGTCAATACGCCTCCAGCTGCCTTGCCAGGTGTCCTGAGAGAAAGCGTAACCACAGAAAGAAACGCTTGTTATCCTAAAAGCAGGACAGAGATGAATCCAAAACCAGAAAGCAGTTTGAATGAGGCAGCAATGATACCTAAAAAACATTTGAGTAGCCTACTGGGGGAAGACCCTGAAGAATAATGTAATTGGAAGGAAATAACAGAGATTTAAAAGTCTGTGGAGGAGAGGAAAGGAAAGATGAGGGGTCTTTTAATGCATTTAAGGAGTTTTAATTTTGTAAGATGAAAAGTTCTGGATATCAGTTACACAATCACATGAATATATTTAACAAAACTGAACTATACTCTTAAAAATGGTGAGGATGGTACATTTTATGCTGTGTGGGATTTTTCTTAGTCAAAACAATGTTTTGAAAGTTTATGAAAGGTTAGGAAGGAAAGATGGGAGAAGAGGAACACAAATGTCTGAAAAGTGAAGGCCTAAAAGTGAGTAGGGGTGATAGAGGTACTGTCCTGGCTAGAGTTGTCAGAGCAGTGGAGTACATGTGGGGGTTGGCTAGATAGGCTCACAGGATCAGGGCAGGAGAGGCCATGATGGCTGGCTGCAGGCTGGAGAGCAGGAAGACCCAGTAGTTGCTCTTGCCAAGAAGCTGGAAGCTGCAGAACAAGGTGGACCAAGCATGCAGTCAGGTTGACAGCCAAGATCAGCAGGCACAGGTACCTAGATCTAGCTTACAACCTATAGCAAGAGCACATTTATATTTATATTATATTTATAATATAATTTGTATTCTCCTTCTGTCTCTCTTTTCTTTCATCATTTTAATCTGTAGAACTGTCTAGATGAAACTAAGATGGCCTGAGAGGAGCACGGTTATTTTGGCTGCTCCTTTTTTAAGAGACCAAGGGCTCCCTGCTTTTTCCCTCCAGTATTCCAGGCACCTCAGATAGCTTAGAGTTCCCGATTCTGCCAATGCTAAGTCACTGCTTTGGGCCCAAGGTTAATGGATGGGAGGAGAATTAATTCAGTGATTAATATGCTGGGTCAGAGCCAGGCCTTTGTTTATACTGAACCGTGCTTTGGACTCAGAAGTTTTGCCAAAAAAAAAAAATCCCTCACAAAAGCTGTGATGATGCCATCCAATTCGAGGTTGGGAAAATTACAAAATCAGCTTTTCTGTGTTGTTTCTCAACTCCACCCATGACCATGACCATAGGTTCTTCCCTTTATTCAAACTGCAAACCCTGGGTGTTTGATGAGACTTGGGCATAGGTAATAATAACTAATATTATAATGGCTAACATTTTTATATCATGTTTGACAGTTTGCAAGGCCTTCTAAGTCATCCTACATGGTTCTGACAAAAACCACTTGAATTCTGTCCTAGCATCCCCTTGTGAAGTTCAGGGGAGATAAGTACTTGCCTAAGGACTCAGAGTAATTTGTCTAAAGTTGCTGTCACGTGGCCAGGATTGAACACTGTGCTTCCAGGAAGAGGCTGCATGGCAACTACCAATGCTATAGAGGGGCAGTAGTGAATCCAAAAAGGGTTTTGCTTGTGGGAGAGGGCTACTCATGAAACCCTACTGGAGTTGCGATTTCTTGTTTGACTTCACTAACCCATTGTGCTCTACTGTTCCCAGGGACCTTAAGAGGCCATGTAGGCTACTAAATAAAACAGTGTGAATGTAGATGCGATCACAAGGACCATAGGGGTAACTCTGTAGTTCTGATAAGGGTTCAGTCATTTTCCCAGCATGAAGGCCTCATACAGAGAGAGGCTCCTCTTTGGTCCCAGCCTGGAAAGTCATGGCCTAATGGCCTAACGGCAGCTCAGTACTGACACAAGGTTGGTTAGCTTTCTGTTACTGTAACAATGCACCTGAGATAATCAACTTTAAAAGAAGAAAAGCTTATTTAAGCTCACAGTCTTAGAATTTTCAGTCCATGCTTGATTGTCTTGCTTCGTTTGGGCCTATGATAAAGCAGCATATCATGGTGGGAATGTGTGGTAGAACAAAGTGCTCACCCATGGCCTGGACACAAAAAAATGAAAGAGAAGAAAACAGAGTCCCTCAATCCCCTTCAAAGCTGCACCCCCAATAACCTAACTTCCTCCCATTAGGGCCCAACTTTTAAAGGTTCCACAATCTCCAGACAGTACCAAGGTAGACAACAAGCCTTGGACACATGGTTCTCCGGTGGAAGGTGGGGATGTGGGGAATGGGGCTGGGCTGTGGCCTGCAAGTGAGCATGGCTATAAAGGGCCTCGGGCCAGCAGCAGCCGGGCTTTCAGAACATTCTGGTGATGGATCCGGGCTACATGGACAAGGACCTCTCAAAGGTAGTTCCACTCTTTTCTGCTGGGCAAGGAGCAGGTTGTAGGGACAAGGGATAGCAATTACTGTGTTCACCAAACACCCTCCATCGCTTCCACCTCTGGAGTCCTCTTTCCTCTCCCTGCCCTAATAGGAAAAAGAAACATTTCTTCCCCCATCCTGCTTTTGTGAGAGTGATCTGTGATGAGGTGACACGTTTAATGACTTCGTATCTGTCTTCCCATTTGTCATAGATGGGTGATACGTCCTTAGGATGATGTACACAAGAGCCTCTCAGTCTGTCACTGGCTTCTCTTCTATTCTCATCCCTTGCAATGTCCCCCAGTGTACACTGTATATGGGTATGGTGGGTGCTTGAGATGCCCCAAAACTATGCTCTGATTTTTGCTCTTTTGCTGTCGATGCCCCCACCCTTGAATGTTGCTGCCTAACCCCCAGCTGTGGAATCCTCACTGACCTTTTACAACCCATTCAGTTCCTTTGTACTCCCACCCCCAACTTGGCATGCACTCCTATTGCAGAATCTGTCAAAAGCTCACTTGATTATATTCTCATCCATCTCTCCATTCATAATCAGAGGCTCTGTCTGTCAACCTCTAGGTCTACCTCCATGCACAGCAGGTGTTCAATATGAGCTGTGTGTTTTCAATATAGAATATACATTAATGGATAGTAGCTGTAAATTGATAACAGACTGCTTGACGCTTCAGGCAAAAGCTCCAGTGGAATGGAAGAGAGTGTCAGAAAGACTTCCTAAAGGAGCCACTGTAATTTAGCTTCCATGTTCCCGAGCAGGGCATGCCCTTCACTGCATATGAAGAAGGCTGAGACATCAATTTGCTTTTAGAGGAGGGGTCTTTCGTGAGGACAGCATGCCTGTGTGCACACATTTAATGACTAAGGGGACACGGCTGTAGCACCAGGAAGCAGAAAGTACCCGACTCTCCGGAGGTAGCTGGTGGTCTCCACCGAGGCCTGCATTCCTAAGAGAGCAGTAGGGATTTCCTCTTCAAAAGGCCCCACTCTGTCCAATCTTCAACTTGGTCTACATCAGCCTTCCCTTAAGTCGTCTCTGGTCTTCAGAGGGGGATTTCATTCAGTAGAAACACCAGGAGGACACATGGGGCAGCTTCTTGTCTTAAGAGGTTCTTCTTGTATTAAGCCATAAGATTTTCTACTCTTCAATACTTAGCACGGTGCCTGGCCCATAGTAGGTGTTCAGTAAAGGTTAAGTGGATAAATAGATGAATGGTAACAACTAAACAAAATGCCCAATGGGTCCATTTGAGAAAACTGCTTTAAGGACCAAATCAATTAGAATTTTAAGCCAAATAAGCCCCCTGTTTGTTTTGCTATTGACTAATCCAAGGAAGATTCGATTCAGGCATGTGTTATTTTACCATATTCATTGGAATAATGTGAGTCCCAAGAGCAGAATTCAGACCTTTGAGGACAAGGATTCATCCTTATTTTCCCCCTCCTCAACCAAACGCCTGCTGCTGATGCTATGAGGGGTTGCGACAGAATAAACTTGAGATGGGAAATATTTAAACGTGAATCTGCAAATGTACTAATAAAATGTTTTCTCCATTAGTCATTTCATTACCCACACAGAGTACTTTGCCAATAGAAATGATCCTAAGTGAACGGGGTATGTATTTGATCTGCCTTTTTTTTTTTTAACTGAAAAATCTTAAAAAAGTGTATTTGTTATTGTACAAAGAACTTCTGGTACATTTATGCCTGCAAAGTCAATTGTAGTTTTTAAAAGTACATCTAAAGAGGAGAATTTCTTAATAAAAAGAAGAAAAATATCATACAAGAAGTAGAGATTTCCAGTGGATGGGCACTCGGGCTGTTTCCAAGCTTTAGCTATTACAAACTGTGCCGCTATGAACATGGGTGCACATATATGACTGTGGTATGATTCTTTTAATTCTTTGGGGAAGATACCCAGCAAGGGAATGGCTGGGTAAAATAAGATGTGGTTTTTTTATAAAATGGAGTACTACTCAGCCATAAGGAATGAGAAACTAGAGACATTTATAGCTATATGGATGCATATTGAGGCAATACTCTTAAGTGAAATAAATAGGCCACACACGTGTAAATACCAAATAGTTTCTCTAGTGTGAGAAACTGAGAGTGTAAATAAAGATTAAAATGATTAAAACAAATAATTGATAATTTGAAACAGGAAAAAGTCCAAAGGTGTAGGGGTCGTGGGAGGGGAAGGGGAAAGGGAAGAAGGGAAAAATTATGAGAAAAGAAAAAAAATGGAAATGAAATCTATGTAAATAGGGAAGGGTGGAGGGGGTGAAGGGCGCACAGGGAATGGGGAAAAAATAAGAACTAAGATACATCACGTACAGGTACAAGCACCCAATGATAAATGTAAACGTATTGTATATCTAAAATGTACCAATGAAAGAATTAAAAAAAAAGAAGTAGAGATTTCATTGTCCAACAGATGATAATCCGCCTGGAGAAAATTCTCCAGTTAGCGAGGTGGAGTTTTGACTGAATGCCAGGACAGTTCCCCTGACAAATGTTCTTAGAATATTAAGTAGGAAAAAAGTTTCCTGACTTTAATTTGATTTCCAAAGATTTAAAGATGTTTTCTTTGCAACCATGGCAATGAACAAAACTGGAAACTATGAAAAGGCGAATAGAACCAAGAGCAAAGTAATAATGTATCCATTAAAAGCAAAATTATATATCTGTTTGCTAAAATGTGAATCCCCTCAGAATCAAAGCCCTGGGCCTTGGGGAAACTGATGCTGGAGAACAGCTTCTGAGCAGAGCTCGACTCTAACGTGTAGGATGAGTCATTCCACCCAGTGAAATATATTCTACCTCTCTCTCAGGGTGAAGATGTTAGAGCGAGTCAATGTTTACAGCCAGTAAATTCTCCCTAACACCCCAAGAGCTGGGCCTGGGTAGAGAGCCAGTGAATATCTGCTCATTTAGGTAACGTCTTCCCTCTTTGTCTCCAGTGGAATTGCTGCCTTCAGTCCTTGGTCTGTTGCTCCTCTTTCTCCTCTCTCTGATCAGCTAGAACAATGCCTTCTCACTAACACTGCCGTCCTGTGGGAAGGCTGCTTAGGTCCTTCTGCTTCCTCTGCAGGCGACAGGGCCTTTCCTTCGCTCAGCCAGTCTGGTCCATCTCTCCACTCGGACTCCATTCGAACCCTCTAGACTGAATTTTCCCCAACGGATGGCTTAGACATCACGAGGAGCACCAGCTGGAACCCTGTTTTTCCCCTGCCTGGCTCCCCAGTGGTGCAGCATTTACCACGGTTTCCCTTTGCCTCTAGTGGAGCAATGATGGATGAGGAATCTCCTGAAAACTCCGTGCAGTGACTGCTCTGACCTTCTGAACGGCCTGGATAGGTAGAAGCTGATGCCAATTTCAGTGAAAACTGACTGGGAAACGTCACTGTCGAATCCCTTTCGATATCCCGGTGACCCCTGCTCCAACGTGGGAGCCGACCCAGGGCAGAGTCAAGAGCAGGACAGGCCGGGCCCTTCCCAGGAGACCCCGGCTACATGCGCTAGGGGACTGGCTTCCGGCAGAGCTGGAGTAAGAGAACGATAATCTTCGAGATTCAGACATTCTCATGGCATCTGGAAGTTGTTGGTGTTTTTCATGGGGGAAAGTTGCTGACAAACATTGTCCCTGTAGAGGCGACTCCTATTTTCTAGGTCTGGCTCCTGAAGGGTTGCCATGGGGGGAAAAGGGAATGAGATCAGTGCTGTAACTGAACTCCTCTGCCTTCCTGGGCACCACTGTCCCCACCACAAAGCGTCGGTGATGGTAACCATGGAAGTAACTCCAGAGAAGCTCTGTCGGGCGGGGCAGCGGGATGAGACAGTCATGCAGGCATGTTGGCAACACACATGATCCCAGCGTGCAGGGAGGCTGAGGCAGGAGGATTACAACTTCGAGCCCAGCCTGGGCAACTTGGCCAGACTCTGTCTCAAAATAAAAAAATTAATCCAGGAATTTAACTCAGTGGTTTCGCCGCCTGCTGCACAAGCGCAAGGACCCAAGTTCGATCTCCGGTACCAAAAAAAAAAAATTAAAGTAAAAAAATTAAAAAATGACTGCAGATATTGTTTAGTTTGCTCTACTTACGCTCTGTGTTCAGTCCCAGTACTATAAAAATCAAATCAGTCAAATTTTAAAACAGATGATGCATGTAATGCTAGTCTTAGTGCTATGCCTGGAACATTATGTCTTCAGTATACAGGCAGGTGTGGTGGTGCACACCTGTAATCCCAGCACTCGGGAAGCTGAGGCAGGAGGATCACCATGAGTTTGAGGCCAGTCTGGGTTGCATAGTGAGTTCAGAACCACCCTGAACTACATAGCAAGACCTTGTCTCAAAAACCAGAACAAAACAAAAAATGAGTTTACAGTATTCAACTGCCTTGGGAGGCCACATCTGCTAAGTAAGTCCTTCTCCTTTAACACAGGGTTCTTACATAATTTTGGACTCTCTGATGCCTGGATTTCCTGCTGTAGTTATTCCAAGCCCGAGCTGTCTCTTGCGTGGCCTCACAGCCTTCGGGATAAAGACGATAGCTAATTTAGTGACCAATTACTACACGCCAGACACTGTCTGAATGTATTGTTTCCCACTCTGTCCAGGTGTTTTATATGCACACACTTAGTCCTTGCAGCTGTGCAAAATAGAAGTACCATTACTTCCTACTTACAGAGGTGGAAACTGGGGCACAGGGAGGCTTTGCCTGTACTTTGCTTTACCTGTTCTGTACCTGTCCCTGGCTGCAGGGCTCGGCTGTGTGCCCTCTGGTTCTGCTGTACCTCTGACTTTAGGGTCTTCCTGGACCTGATCAGAGAATACTGAACAACTCTTTGTAACACCTTTTGAGAAAAAATGTGTTTCAAGTCCCAAAGGCCACAGTCTCAGAACAGAATTCCTTTGTGAAGTCAGTGCTGCTGGAATTTGAGGTGAGGTGGGGCTGAGCTCTGAGAGGTCACCCCCACCTACCCCACCCACCCCAGGCTGTGGCTCCGATGCTCACCTCCCACCCATTCAGGGGCCAGATCTGGCCGCTTCCTGCAAGAACTTCATGTTTCTGCCAGTCCAGCCGGGTTCCCCTCACACAGCTCCCCCGGCAGCTGCCTCCAGAGCCGGCTCCCAGCGGGAGGTCCATGAACTGAATGGATCTTTGCATTATCAGGTATCTGAACTGCTCCTCACCACTTTCTGTGGCCCCTTCCGGCACTAGCAGCAGGGAGAGAGAAGAGAAACATAACCTTCTGTGTTCCTTACTGAGGCTGAGCAGCTGTAATTGTGTGAATCTGCTCCCTGTCCTGGGGCACATGCAGCTCTTTCTCCAGTTCACAGAAGAGGAAATGGAGGCTCAAAGACCTCACACCCTCAGCAGCCCCAGGGTGGAAACCCAGGGCTCTGTGGTCACAGAGCGTGTCTTCCTACCCACCAGCCTCTCCAGCCCTGAGCTGGCCCTGATTGGACACTCATGGGGTGCATCCAAACACCAGGCAACTTACAAAGGGCACATTTGCTTTCAGAATCCATAAATGATGGGCTTTGCTGCAGTTCTTGGGCTGATATTGACATTAATCGGCATTTTGTGAGTTTATGGCAGGCCAGGGTTTGGAGACCAGGAGGAAGGCGGAGAGAGCAGAATGCAGCTCGGGAATCGGGAGGTACCAGGCTGAGATGAAAAATCAGCCTCATCCAGCCAGCAAAATGTGGCTGTACAGGCGGGTGACCCTGAGTTGGCTCCTGTGGGAGTTTTATGGTACATGATAAAGTGATGGATCTCAGTCTATAATAAGTTTCATTTACATTCAGACACTTGCTATGTGAAATTCATGGTGACCCAGCAGCAACTGAATTGAACCCTTGCTCTATTTCTTTAAAGATCATATGCCCTTCTCAGGAGGCTGAGGCAGGAGGATCCCCCCTCAATTTTAAGTACTAAGTACATGTCTTATTCCTAGGTGACTTAAATGGACCCCTCGGAGGCCTCTATTATGCAGTCTTCTGCTGTTTGGGATTCACATCTTCCTTTTCAAAATGGTAGGTAGCACATGCCTGTAATCCCAGCTCTGAGGGAGACTAAAGCAGGAGGATTGCAAGTTCTAGCACAGCCTGGGCAACTTAGCAAGACCCTATCTCAAAATAAAAAGTGCCGGGGGTGTAGCTTAGTGGTAGAGAGCCCTTGGATTCCATCCCCAGTACTGGAAATAAATAAGTACATAAATAAACCCTAGGACCAGGAGATTTTCTCTGATTTTGACCAAGCCTTCCTTGTGAATCTGTGAGGTTTCCTGGTCACCACCAGGTACCTACATAACAGCGAGGGGACAATCCACCTAATTTCAATGAAGGTGGACATTCCTCACCTCTGGACTCTGTCTTTGCTCATGGCCCTGCCTGGAAAAGAGGAGCAGCCCCCAGATTCCTGCAGTTTAGGGTCAGAAGGGGGCTCAGCTGTGGCCAACGCCTCCTATTCAGATATTTCTCAGGAATGTCAAGGCTCTGAACACACAGCCCAAGAAAATGCAAAAGAAATCGGGTGCCTCAGTCCTCCAGGGCCAGTGCATGTGGTTCCTTGCTTCTTCCTTCCTTCCTTATTTTTTTGGTGGTACTAGGGATTAAATGGTCTTTGCATTGAACAACTATTCCAGCCCCTTGTTTATTTATTTATTTTTTATTTTTTTAAAAATCCTTTTATTGGTACATTGTAGGTATACAACACAATTACATTTCTCATTGGGAACTTGTACCTTTACATGATGCATCTTGGTTCTTATTTTTTCCCCATTCCTAGCTCTCCCTTCACGCCCTCCACCCTTCCCTATTTACAAAGACTTTATTTCCATGTTTTCCATTTCTCATCATTTTTCCTTTCCCTTCTTTCCTTTCCCCTGCCCCTGCCCCTCCCACTACCCCTACCACTTTGGACATTTTCTTCCTATTTTGCATTATCGATTATTCATTCTAATCATTGGTACATTTTAGGTATACAATATAATGACATTCATCATTGGAAATTTGCACCTTTACATAGTCTCTCTTGGTTCTTATTTTTCACCCTTGCCCAGCCCTCCCTTCAACCCCTCCATCCCTCCCTATTTACAAAGATTTTGTTCCTATTTTTCCATTTTCTCATATTAATTCCATTCCCTTCTATCCTTTCCCCATCCCTCCCACTTCCTTCCCCTTTGCCCCTTTTCTTCCTATTTCACATTACCTTATACATTTTAAAGTCCTTATTTACACTTTCCCCTTGTTTATTTTTAATTTTAAGGCAGAGTATCACTGGGTTGCTAAGTAGAGGAGGCTGGGCTCGAACCTGCAGTCCTCTAGCCTCCCAGAGTGCTGGGACTACAAGTGTGCACCACTGCACCTGGCTCCAGTGATTGTTTTTAAAGGGGAAACATCTGCGTACTCACTCCCATATATAGATCTCTCTCTCTCCTCTCCCCTTCTTATTTTTATTTACTTACCTACAGAAAAAAATACTAGGCTGCCTCTCTAGCCCCAAGAAGACTAGGATACAGCTTGCTCATCACATGCATTTTTTTAAAAAAAACTTTTTGGATTGTTCTAGATAGATGAAAGGAATTGCATGCATATTAAAGGAATGTAAGAATTTCCCAACTGCCAAGATCATGAAATTGACTCATACCATTGGTCTACTGTCTGGGCTGCTTTTTGCCTGTCTGCATCCGTCCGCCCAAATACCGATCCATCCATCCATCCACCCATCCATCCTCCCATCCGTCCATCCATCCATCCATGTAAAACTAACTGATAGTTGCCATCACTGAGGGTAAGCAGTCAATGGAGTGAAGACCATGCCCGCCACAGCTCCCAGCCTTTCCGGGGAGGTGCGCGGTCTTCCCCCTGCTAAGAGGCTGGGCTCTTCCAGATGTTTTCTAGGGATGGCCATGTGTCCTCCTGACTCATGGTTTCCCAGAGTTTTCTGTGAGCCCGTACACACATTTCCCCAGACAAGCTGAGAGGGGCTTGCAAGAAAGACTCTCAGTGTAGGAGAATCGATGACCCAGGTGTCACTAGCACCATGTAACGGTGAGGCTGGTGACTCAGCTGTGACGTCGCTTGTGATGATAGAAAAGGACACGGTGAAGTTGACTTGCAAAGTTTGATTCTTGGATGAAGAAGTCTTCCCTAAACCCCTGACAGCTGATCCCAACGGTGAGTGCTGCGTGGCGTGCGGCTCCTACTGCTGCAGACAGGGCTCGCAAGACATGAGCCCGGCACGCGAAGCTCGTCGCAGGGCTGATGATTCCTGTGTTCGGCTTAAGAGACAGTAAGCGGAATCCACTTCTAGCGATTCTGTGCTTATTCTGAAAGGTTTCTATTTAGGAACGCAAAGTTCAGACGGTCATAACTTTGGTCTTTTAATAGGCTCAGGTTGACATACCCATTCTCAATTTAAAAAAATAAGTGGAGCAAGCTTATGCTCAGATTTTACTAGTGTTTTGTTTTGATTTTTTTCCAGCTCAATAAGTGTTCCATTTTTAAAAGCAGGGCATGCTTTTTCTTTTTCTTTCTTTCTTTTTTTTTCCCACCCAAGAAGAGGCACAGAATCACAAGATCCTTTCTTAGGTTTAGTCCAGACGTCTGTTTCTCAGAACATTTGCTTTTTATATGAGTAATAAGTAGAAGAAAAGCAATGAGAGAAATGGATGATCTCTCTTTCCATGAGGAGTTATTTATAAAAGCACATGAAAGATCTCTGAAACTGAGCAGCAGCCCTGAAACTACAGCAGCCCTCCTTATCCTAGGGGACACTTTCCAAGACACCCCATAGAGTCCTGAGACCATGAAGGCCCTGGGTTCAATCCCCAGTACTACAGCAATATATATATATATATATATATATATATATATCAAACTAAAAATTAACAGAAGAAAATATAAATGTTCTCAGAGAAGAAGTTGCAATAAAAGTCAGGGGAAGAAATGTAAAAGGGAAAGACTGAATTATATACAAAGTAAAACCTTTCCTGGTCAAAATATCATAAGCAAAATTAAAACATACATTACAACCAATAATCACATTTTCTACTTCTCAAAGTAGCAAAGATTTAAAAAGTACTTAATTCTAGGGTATATATGCAGGAAAACAAGTCCTTTCATGTACTGGTGACAAATGCCTAAGTTGGAAAAACCATTTTTTCAAAACAATTTGTCATTATATATCAAATCCTAAAAATATTTGTCTTTCATGCTAATAATTTCATATCATGAATTAGAGTGATACAGACCAACATTTATATACTGAGATGTCCACTGTAGCATGATTTAGAATAATAAAAATAGGGGCATCTTAAATGTTCAACACGGAGCAATCACTGAGTACGTGGGCCATCAGTAACGTAGGTACCATGCAGCTAGAAAACACGTTGTTCTCACAGACCAGGCACTGAGGCGAGGAAGTCTCATGTTAGGGCGTTCAGTGAGACTCAATACGCACTCTTACATTTTGAACAAAACGTTCAGAAATAAAACAGAAAGAGGAAAGGGGGAGAGAGAGGAGGGGAAGGTGACTGAAAAGAATTAAGATGTGTTATATACATGGCCCAACTCCCGATGATGAATGTCATCAGGCACTGCAAACACATACTAATAAAACTAAATTTAAAAAAAAGCAGACAGAAGGAAAATATGCCAAAATGCTAACTGTGGCTCTCTCTGATCGACAGGATTACAGGTGCGTTTTCAGGTTTGGCTTTCTTACAGATTTTCTGCAATAACCCTGTATGGCCTAATGTTTATAAACTACAAGGATCAAGTGGGAATAAGTCGTTTATTCTCAGTAAACTGCAAAGCCCTGGCTGTGTGCAATTTTATTATACT